AGCCTGGAACAATGAGCTGTATCGATAATTGAGTCTTCTGTTATTTTAGGCCTGTTCTCTTGAGTGGTGTTCTCTTGAATAAGTGGCACTAGAGAGTTTGTGCAGCTTAAGGCTTTGCTCATCTCTTTCAAATTTCTCCTCAGTACAGATGATAATTGCAAGATATTTTAGTTGTAGCTTTGGAGGCCAAATATTGGTTACTCAGCATGCACTTAGAACACAATTGCATTATATGCATCGTGATGTCTGCTATATTAAAGCCAAAAAATGGACTTGTTCTTGAAATGCATGTCCCTTTTGTGCAACTGCACCCCTTTATTCTGAAGCCAGCAAAAAATCCTGTTATCTAAGAGAAGTACTACAGTCATCTTTTTATATGTTAACAGCGAATAATAGTTTTGCTTTCCCAACAGTAGTAGCTTGATATTTTGATGTAGCCAGTGCCATTGGGTCTATTATTTGGATCATAGTTTTGTGCAGGAACAACAAGTTGGTTGGAGTTAGTGTTTTAAATGCAGACTGGTAGATAAAAATGTATTTATGATGAGCAAGTTGGTAGAATATGCAGATGATGCATACATCTTTTTTTTTTTTTTTTTTTTTTTTTTGTCAGTATATTTGTATACTGTGTCAGTATATTATTTCAGCTCTTAATTGGCAGGAGAACAGTGCGAGACTGTCTCTTCTTTAGGGAACAGAATGCCATAGCTTTGATTTCAAAAGTGAAGATCCCAGACTACTGATTGAGTAGCTTCATTCTTGAATTCTGCGATTGTGTGCCAAATGTAACTTCAGCTTAGGATGATTTCTTTTTATTATTATAAGTGCTTTTTTGGAAGCATTTCAGTCATTGTTTTTATATTTGATGTTAACATTGAGTGACAGTGTTCCCAGCTAGATATTTTTTCTGTTCCATGCTTTAATGTGAATACAGTTTATCTGTTCATCTTCACCACCTGCTTGTGCAGAATTTAAGGAGTCCTAGAAATCAAACTATATGTTTAAAATAATTGAGTATAGTTATTACTGTTACTAGTAACTGTATTACTGTTTAGTTATTAGAGCCACGGCGTATTACAACTTCTGAGCCAGCAGAAAAAAAACCATCCGTTTTAAAGATGAGAAGCCTGCCTCATTGCCTGCATTCTGTTCGTTTTGGAAGAGGCACGAACAGTCTTGAAACGAAACTTGGTACTTTTCGTTGAAGCCACTTCAACTTTGAATAAATCTACACAGGATTCAATGCTGCTAAACCAGTTTACTTCAGAGACGCACCCATAAAGCTGCTGCACGTTGCAGAGGTTGGTTTAGTGCACAGCAAAGCAGGGGAATGGGCAGGAGATGTTCCTGATGCTCATGAGGAAATTCCAGCGTAGGTCAGCTAGAGAATCCCCCTTCCTGCAGTGCTCCTGTTGCTTTCTAGCTGGTGGCAAAGTCCGGTCTTGGGTGGGTGCAGTCCCCAGCTCCGAGCAAAGACCTTTGCTAAGCTTTTATTAAGTGTTCACACATCCCATTAGTGCACACTTACTGTGCTGTAAATGCATCTCCTGAGTAACTTGCCTGCTATTGCAAGTTGTAAGATCTGGCCAGATAATTTGAAGGGACGGGTTGATTTGTGCTATGCCTACACGAATAGACCAGGAAAGTGGCCCTAGCCCAAGTAGGGGTGAGGTAATTCTGTACTGTGACAGCAGAGCTCCTTAGCTGCATCCTTTCTAAATCATATGGGCAAAACTGGTATTAACATCTGAAAACTGTCCTACGTGAAGAATGCAAATGTAGCATTGGACAAACAAAAAGCTTGTGTTTATATTCTTCTATAAACGTTATGCAAGACAGGCACCTCTCTTAGAATAATAGAATCATTATGGTTGGGAAAGACTTTCAAGATCGTCAAGTCTAATCGTAAACACTTCAACACTGTGGCTGTTAAACCATGTCCCTAAGCGCCTCATCTACGCATTTCCTGAACATTGCCAGGGACGATGACTCCACCACTTTCCTGGAGAGCCTATTCTAAGGCTTCACTGCTCTTTCCATGTAGAAATTCTTCCTAACATCTAACCTGAACCTTCCCTGGTGCAACTTGAGGCTGTTTCCTCTTGTCCTGTCAGTATTTATTCTGCAGAAGAGATTGACCCCTGCCTCAGCACAACCTCTTCCTTGTATAAGATGCTTTTCCTTCTGGGGTACCTTCATTTTATTGGTCTTCAATGTATACCATGTCAGAAGTGTTCGGAAAATGTCAGGAAAAACGAGCTGTATTTATATAAACAACAACATAAGGCAAATGTGGAGTTTTTGTTGAATGAAAATGTGTAGATCTTATAGCATTCAGTGTTTTCATTCTCCTAGGGACAGTCAGTAATACAGATGGTGTTCTCTTCAGAGATGAATAAGCATAACATGGCTGTAGTGTGATGCCCTGCTACCTAATCTCTAATCCTTTGCATTTTGCAGTTTGTGTCACACAAACTGAACAAAAATTTTTCTGTTTTCATGTCTTGCAATTTCCAAGTAAAACTGTTAAAACCTCAGTTTCTTATATGTAATAAATAGTATGTGGTGTTTTTTGTTTCTGCTACTGTCTTTAAAGGACAAAGATACACTTTTTAGTGGCTGTTTTCAAGGTGGTTCTTTTGTAGGCAGCAGCTATGGCATTGGTTCTGTAGCTGACTCGCACTGGATGCGACAAACGTAGTTGTGCATTCCCTACCTTGCACCATACTTCCTTGTCAGACTCTTTGGAAACCATCAGAAAACAAATCTTTTCTTGTAGGCGTATAAATCTAACCTGGAGAAAGGAGGGAGAGAGTCAAAGACCCTAAACAGGGCTTGTTTCAAGATCAGATGCATGGGGACAGAAATATGTGCAATACTGGAAGGGAAGGTGGGCTTCACCTTTTCCATGTTAGCTAGCTGTTATATACACTTAACTGTTATGTGAATTTGTGTCCAGTTTTGACACCAGCTCAGGTTACATTTCTAATTTGGTGTGACTTATTTAACAGACAGCTGTAAGTGGATTTTATGTTAGGCTTAATAGACTTTCATAAGAGAAAGCATTTAAGCAGCATGTATCAAGTGTAATGCTGCAATTAGAGGTGTTTTTACTGGGTGTCTACCAGTTAAAGTTTATTTACAGATTTTGCAAATATTAGCATGTGCAACCATTTGCAGTGCTTTGCAACTTACCTTTCTGGTCCAAAGGTCAGGAGCTAATTTTGAGGGTAGCTTAAATACTGTGTCATTCAAATACTTCATGGTTTTGCCTTGTTATAGTGGGAACACTGGAACTTTTTTTTTTTTACCTTTGCTGTAATGGTTTGAATCATTCTTGCAATTCTTGACGTCTATGCAGTTTCTTTAGATATTCCAGGCTAAATCCTGACCCGGGAGAATTGCTGGCTCTTCAAATGCACTGATTTCTCCTATTTGTGTTTCCTCATTCCAGATCACTACATCTCTTTCGTAAATCAGACAAGTAATGATTGTCTTGATGCATGTGATTCTTGATAGCCTTGTGAATTTTTCTATATTTTTGCAAGTTATTTCCTTTAGTGTTCTCATTATGCTGAGTTTTAGAGCTGTAGGGCAAAGAACACATGTTGTTACTTAAAATATACAAGAGCATTTGGTGCTCAGTGAAGCAAAATGCGTGTTTCATGAATGCCATCCTGTTGAGCTGTGTTGTTGCTTCATATGTGCTGCTGATCATTGCTGTATAGAGCCTTTAAAAAAAAAAAAAAAAAGAAAAAAAAAAAAGAAAAGAAAGAAAAAGAAAAAACCCACATGATCTTAATTCCCTCTTAAAAGGTTTCTCCCTAGCTGACTTCATATGGGGCTGATAGTCTTTTGGTGTCTTATGTAGTGTCGGAGGAGAGCAGTCACTTGCTTCCGAATTTACCAGGATCTTCCAAGCTGAAGTAATCATGCTGAGGCGGGAACAGGGAGTTTTTGCTTCTGGCTTAAGAACAGTTACTGCATTCAGTATGTAGAATACTTCAGATCCTCCCCTCGCTGCATCATAAGGTTACGTAATGATTTAGTAATATCTTCTCCTTAAATTTAATTCCAGAAAACCTGCAGATTTGGTTAATGGGTAAGCAGATGAAGGAATGAAAAACACTGGATAGGTAGAGCCTGTTTCTGCTCTCGGTCTGTGCAGATCTGTTTCTGCTGAGTCTTTTTGTTTAGACGAAAACAATACAGAAATGCAAGTCACATCTGTATCAGCATCTGCATCGTGTCTGTATGCTGAAAATATATTTGTCAGGGAAAGAGTCTGGGAAGAGTCAGGGAAAGGATATGATTTTTATTTATCTCAAAGTATACTAGCGTTTCCTCCAAGGAATTGCTCTTTTTTCAAATTAACTAATTTTAGAGAATTCATACGGAACATATTTTTGTATATGACATTTTGTTTTAAATCCTTTCAGTTATAGTTTAGCATGAAAAGAATGGTACCTGCTGCTAAGCTGTATCTAATTAGCATGGAGATAAAAGGAGCCTCTTGGTATCTGATCTCCAAAGTCACAATATGGATTCATCTTGCACTCTATATAAATATTACTGTTTTCATTCATCTTGAATTTTTCTTTTTTTTCCCCACAGTTCTTTGTTAGAAAATAGTGCTTCACCCTTTCTAGTATTTTTGTAATAGTGTTCAGCATTAATACATAAGATTTTTCCAAATTAGTGACAAACCTTGTTTTAGGACTTCATGAAGCCAGTCTTTCCCTTCTTCCTCACTTTTAAAACGTTGAGGCATTTTTTATAGCAAATTGTTTTGTAATGTGAGGGCCTAGATATGCTTTTAGTAATTCAATGAACTTCAGTTTATAAGATTAAAACCTTATATACTTATACTGGTAGTATAACTTTGTCATATTACAATCATATTATTTATTATAAATGTATTATTAATATAGTTATCATTTCATGTAGCTTTATCATATTATCCCTTGCTCTGTGATCATCAGTTTGTTTTCTTCTTTCAGAAAACAAGGCAATATTTGAAGGCTTGACAGATGCATCCCAGGCTGAAAAACTGCTGCATTCCTCCTCCTCTTCCTCCTTTAGAAAACTGACTTCTTTAAAGAGAGGTAAATATGAACTGCTGTAGCATGTTGTGTGTTGTTCTAAATTATCTTACATCTGTGTGGTTCTATTGACTGGTGATCACTAATTCACAATATCTAGCAGAGATGCCTTTTGAAGGCTGTCTGTAGTTTCATTTAGTTGTGTTTGCTGAAATAAATGCTACATGTAGTACTGTTCAAAGTCTTGGAGCCTTGAACTTACAGTTTTCCAACACAATTTTTGATGTATCTTCACATCATGTTACCTGACACTTTTTCCTGCAATTTCTATTAAAAAAAAAAAAGCAAATAGCAACACTTTAGATGATTTTGAAATTGCTTCTAAGAAGTTAACATGTTTATGTGATTAAATATAATAGTCTTCATATTGTTCTCCTCATCTTGTGGAGGATAAAAGAGGAAGAAAAAGTAGGCAGAAGGAATTTGTAGTTTTTCAGAAAAAAAAAAGGTAAAGATATCTGCCAATGTATGGTATCTGCCAACTCTTTTACCTGTTGGTTAGCAGAGGAACACTCATGACAATAAGATAATAAATTATTGTGCACAGAGAAAATAACTGTAATAATGCTTGTTTTTCTGTCTGTCCCCCATGCCCTCCCCCACCCCAGTTGGTTTGGGGCAGTGAGAAGGCTGCAATAGGTTAGAGGCCTAAGCTAAATCCAGCTGAGTCCTAACAGCTTAAATCTCCTTATTATTTTGTTTTTTTAGTCGGCTTATGCTCAGGGTAAGAGCTTTAGCTCAATCTCTTTATTGTGAACCATAAACAACTGCTGAAAGAAGGCTATTTAATGCACAGGGTGAGTGCAAAACCCTATTAAAATATTTGTGTGTCAGTAATGCCATCAGTGTGAATTAAATGCATTAAAACTGCCTCTGTGTAGCTCTCTAAATGGTTTTAACGTGTGTTTGGAAATGCACCACAGTGTTTAAAAAAAAAAAAAAAAAGGTAACTATCATTTAAGCTAACAAGTGTTATATATACACACATTGCCTAATAGTTCTCTTTATCTTTCATGATACAGCGATTGTGTCTGATCTAAACTATAATATATCTTCTTTTGGGGTTAACCTTAATGTTTTCAGCTCTTTTGCTTGCAGTTGTTTCAATTTTTTTTGTAAAATTTTAAATTTTAGGGAGTAAAGTTCTGTTACGATTCTCAATAACTGCTTTTATGCAACTGCTTTACTTTGAGCTGTATCCAGAACTGTCATTAGTGTGTTACATGGTTTCTTCCATGATGTTCTTTACTTTATTCCACTTGTCTTTTCTTTGTACTATATTTGGTAAGAGAGCAAGAATGGGATGGTGTGTTTGTCTTAAATAATGTACTGTTTGGCCTGAAGCTCTGAATCCTTCTTTTTCCTCCTCCCCCATTAATGTGCGGTACCTTTAACTATAAAGATCTGAAGGGAATCGTTTAGAAGGCTAGAAAGTGAGATTGTTTGTCAGAAATACAGATTTTGCTATTGTTTGCATAAATATATTGGAAACTTGTTAACAGCTTTTCATTGATGTAGAGTTTTACAAAACTTAAGTTTTACTCCTGGAACTTTTTTTTTTTTTTTCCTCTTTCTCTCCTCCCCTTCCTCCCTCCCTCCCCTAAAGGTAAGAGAGAAGGAAAAGAAGTAAGAAAATGCTGGGATCGGAACGAGGTGTGGTGGAAGAATGGCTGTCAGAATTCAAGGTGAGCTGAGAAGAATGATTTGAAATATCAAATGCTTGCATTAAAAGTGCTAATTTGTGGAGGTAAAATAGCCACAATATAGCTATCGCTTTTTTTTTTCCACAGACTTTTGCATGCTTTATGCATTAAAGGAGGTGACTGATATAGAAAATACAGTGCATATTTCTAGTACTGCCTGCTATACAAATGCAACCTTAAATCATATCTTATAATGTAAAACAAGCTGATAGAATTTAACTGACAGGTGAATAATTCTAGATAAAATTTAAGTTCATCAACATTTATATCTAAAAATTAGTAGAAGTGTTTGGAGTTGGCTGATTAAGCTTTTCTGTATAATCTGCACAATTTTTTTATTTAGCATGAAGTAGCTGAAAGTCTTTTTAAGTTATAATGTTGATAACTGTTGAATGAAGCACAGAATAATATATGAAGTGTAAAACTGGATTTCATAATGATGATGAAATTAATGCATTATTTTAGTTAAGAATTAGTTATTCCTTGCATGTTGATAATATACAAAATCAAATTACTGACTTAATAAAAATGTGTAGAGCAGTAAAGAATGTAAAAATCAGACGTGATTGCCTGGGGGACTTGAGACTGTGTGTACTCATTTTAGATTATCTACATCTCTTAGATTTTATTTAAGTTGTTCAATTAAGACCTTGAAAAGTGCCTGGTAAGGAATGTCAAAAAAGGATAGGAATCTTCACTGCAAGATGTGGAACAAATGCCCTTTTTAAAAAAGGGCAAAACTGAAACTGCTTTGGATTTAGCCCTGATAGTTGCTGTAATAGCTCAAATGCTATTTCAACAGAGAAACATTGGTACAGCATGAATTCTGAAAATTTACTTCAGAAATTGTTTTTCATGTTGCGATAAGACTCGGTGCTTTGTTGGACATCTTTTATACTTCTAATAACTTATTTCTTTCTTTAGGCATTACCTGAAACACAAATTTCCAGTTATGCAGCTACATTGCACCGAAAAAAAACGCTGGTACCAGCTCTCTACAAAGTGATTCAAGACCCAAATAATGAGGTAGGATCCTTTTAAAGAATTTTTGTTAGTATCCTTGTATCTTCCAACTTCACATTTAAATTAGAATAATTTAGAAGTGATAATGGAAGAATCTTCTAAGTTACTCTAGAGTATTCCTCTACATGTTTCTACTCTTTCTCCCCCTAGAAAGCAGCTTTCAGTCAGAACAGAGGCAAAGTAGCCCCTTTCAGTTAAGTTCAATAAGACCAATGTGTTACTCACCTGATTACAGTGGAAGATGGAATCATTTTTATCGAACGCTACAAGCGATTGAAATAACCACATGTTCTTTTTGCTTAACCACCCATTCTCTTTGCTTATACCAACACTGCGTGGTTTACAATGTTGTAAACAAAAGCAGAACCAGGGCTCCAAAACATAAACATACACAATGAAAATCTTACCTCCTATACATAATTCATGTTGCAAATAGTGTAAAACTCAGCTATCTGTTACACTGACTTCTGCCATGAGAATTTTGGAAAAGTGTGTGAAATGTAACTTCTGGATAAAGTATCCAGGCATACAACTCTGCTGTGTAAACTGCTTTAGATAAAATATTTCAAAATAACAGATTTATCTTCTGTGATTTCTTGTATATTTATATATTAGAAGTGTACTCAGCAAGGAAGCTTTATATTTTCGTAGATATAACTCAGCTGCTTTTGGACTGAATGCTTTGTAGAGCTTGGAGGAGATTGCATAACTTTCTGACAAAAAAAAAGATGCTTCACATGGGAGTCAACTTCATCTCAGTTTTGCAACTAGCAGCTTGCATTGTCACCTTTTTCTCTGCAAAAGCTGCTATTACAGCACAGAAGCCACCACTGCTTTTTTTGTCTGTCTCTTTGCACATGTATGTCTCTGTGTGTTTATATACTTCTACATAGATTTTAAAAAATTCCCTTGCAAGAAAGAATGGTAATATTATGCAAAGAACCAGATTTGCAAACTGTTTTCCTGAGGACCTGTCATCTTGCATTACTGCAAAATGACCCATATCAACCTTGACCCTTTGCATCTGCTCTTTCTGCTTGGGTCTGATTCTGATCTCTGTTTTAAGAAACAGAGTCCCAAACTCAAAGAAGATGTACCTCAAGATTTGCTTTTTAAGGCAAATTGAAGCATGTATTTCTTTACTACATTTCCTCCAAATTTGTTTTGTATGTGAGGAGTGTAACTGGAGTATAGCAGTAAAGATGGAATATATCCATCTTTACTTTGGATAATTCTAAGGTAATGTTTGGCTCTAAGTTTGTTTTTAACAGGCTTTATATGGCATTATTTGTTAGAAGGATAACTGATTACTTATAGAATCATAGAATCATAGAATGCTTAAGGTTGGAAGGGACCTCAGAGGTCATCTAGTCCAACCTCGCTGCTCACGCAGGGTCACCCAGAGCATGTGGCACAGGGCTGCGTCCAAGCGGATTTTAAAGATCTCCAAAGAAGGAGACTCCACAACCTCCCTGGGCAGCCTGTTCCAGTGAAAGTAAAGCTTATGTAATGAGAATTACAAAAACCTATTTGGTTTTATCTTGTTAAGCCCAGTCCTGAGAAAATGAGATTCTCTTTGCAGTGCCTGACCCATGCACTTCTCAGACCCAACACTCCTCAGATGGTAACCAACTTCATCCATTGCATTATACTTAAGCTGAAAATGAACTCATATTTTTTGCCATGACTGAATACTTAAAATAGTTTCCAATATCACTATACATTTTGTAGCGCGTTATATATAGCTTCAAGCCATGGTGTAGGTCTTAAGATTTGACAAACCTTGCAAAACAAGACAAGGTTTAAACCTATTAACTGGCTTCCTTGAATCATGACTTGTCTGCATGTCAGAATAATGCTGAAGCGTGATAGGAAAAATGTTGGTGTTCATGTCTTCAAAAATGTTTTTTATTGTGTCTTTGGCTTTTTCTTGTGGAGTTGAATAGCTGTGAACACACCAAAGCACTATAGTAGTTACTACAAACAACTTTCGGATTTTGAAGTAATTTTCACTTGTTCAACTTTTTAATGAAACTAATAACAACTGAAGTGAGAGAGTACTAGCAGGCAGTACTAGGGACTAGATATTGCTGTGTCTTTCTAGGGAGTGTGCTATTGCTTCTGAGACTAGTTTTATGTAATTTCCATTTGAAATAAAGTAGAATAAACTCGCTAACTGCCCTGTTATCTGGTCTGATCATCTCTTCAGATAAACTATCTTTAATGTCACTTGGGTTAGACGTATACGGCTTTCAAATGGCAAAAAGCTTGGACTTTTGACTTCTCTAATGTAGTAGAAGTACTATTTATAGTAATGCTGCTGTATATTTCTGGTTTCTATTAATATTTGCTTAGCTCTTCTTGCACCCATTCTCTACTAGCAGAGCTTCTTGTATTTATTATTCCCTAGAGATGTCTAGATTTTTTTTCCCCTCTATACATTAGCCTCTCGTTCAGTATTTTCTGTTTTAATGAAAACCTACAAATCCATTTGATCATCTTACGTCTGAAATGTGCTAGGCTTTTCATGAGACAAGGGTATGGCTCTGTCTCTGAGGATTTGGACACTTATTGTAACAGATGGTTTTGATAATTAATGTTATTTTTAGATGGGAGTTTGAACAAAGTAAATATTAATTACAAAAGGATTTGTTACTTAATATGTGCATTTTCCAAATATACAAAGTGCTTTATCTATGAAATGCTGGAATAGGTATAAAGTTGAACGTGTCTTGTTGTATTTTGTATACAACAACGCTGGGGCTTTTTCTGCCAAGAGAAGCTTTACTGGCTTCTAGTTTCATTATCAAAAATAAGCTTTGAGTATTTTACTTGTATTAAAAATATGACTTGTAAAGGCCTATGTGTTGCAAATTACTGTACTCTTCCCATTCTATCCATGTTACTAGTGCCAACTCTCTTCCCTCCTTCTCTTGTGGACTTTTCCTTTTCTTCTGTTGTAAAAACATCCTTTTAGCTTAACATAACTAAGCTGTCAAGCAGAAGCCTTGTTAGACAAGGTACTTATACCACAGGCTTGTGTAAGAAGAGATTTGACTGATAGCACAGTTTTATTTTATGTAGATATGATATTACAACTTATATAATTGACAGCTTAAAAATGGCGTGTTTCACTGAGCAGGATCCTATGTGCTAGAAATGACAGTAGTAAATATTTTTACCTTTCCTTGACCGCTGTGAAGTGGATTCTGTCTCGAGCCAGATATCTTAATGGAAATTCTGACCAGTTTACTTTAGTGTCTGTGATGTACTGCAGTAAAAAATCCAAGTCCAAGCAGATGTCTGAAGTTGTACAGTCAACAGCTTTATTGACTTGCACACTTATCAAGCATTCAGGCTAAGTAGAAACAGCTGTCCCTCTGCTGACAGCAAGGGATTTCCTCAAAGTTTGTTGGGTTAGGATTCACAGCAAGCCACAGAAGTGCTTGCTCATACGACATAGCTCAACACTGGTAGTGAATTCTGCAGGGCATTTGGCATACTGGGAATTTCGTGATTAGAAAAATAAATGAAAGAAAGAACGCATTACCATCTTCAAACATCAGCTAATGCTTTGAAAAGTCATAAGCTGCGTGTCCTTGGGAATAAGGGTGCATACTGGAGGAGGCATCGTGTATACATTCTCTAGGCTTCAGCTCTGTACAGGGTATTGCCTGATTAAGCCTTTTTCCTCACCAGTACAATTGCTATTGTGTCAGTAAAACGTAGCGCCTTTATTTCTCTAAGAATGATATGTATATTAATGTTTAATACTTTCATTTGTGTTTATGAGAGGAATATAAGCCATGACTGGTTAGAAAGAAAGTTAGAAAGAAGATTAAGTTGAGATTCTGGCCTCTATTTTCAGATTATGCGTAACTTTTCTGTATATCTGGTTTGGCTGCTTGGATTGGAGATTGAGCCCCATGATTACTTGCCTTAGGTCAAAACATCTCCTTTAACTTGGGAGGAAGAAAAATATATTTGTAGCTATTGGCCAAAGATCCTTACCAAAATTCCATTCTGAATATTAACTTTCAGTGATTTTGAACTCTCATATAACTCTCGCATTTTCATAGGAAAAGGGAGACACACTGACTTTTTTGTTATTTTCTGTTCTGTATGAGTTTTCTGGATTTGTCTAAACAACACACTTGGACTTGGAGACCCTTAATGACAGGGTTTTCTGATGTTCATTTTTGTTTGATAAAGGCCTTTTTTGGTTCTTGCACTGAAACCTGAAAGGTATCTCCAGAAATGAAAAATCAAGTAGCACTGCATTAAATAACTGCGTGTTTGTTAGGTTTGTGCTTAAAAAAGGTAGCTGAGAAAATAAATTCATACTTCTATCTATTGACCTGTCATTAGCAGCTGCTACTAATCTTTAACTTTTGTACTTTATTGGACCTTGCAGCTACGCCATTAAAATTTTATGGTGCATATAGTTGAAGCCATTTGTCTGTTGCAAACCTGTATACAAAGTAAATCTCATACTGATAGTCCTCAAGAAAAACATTCTGACTGTAGTAATATACATCTTCCCCTACTGTATATCAATTCCCTCTGAAAAAAATCTATCTTTAGAGACCTCCTTAAAAGGAATATGACTATCGTCTTGGTTCATTTACTTGTTTGTCATCAAGGAATTTCATTTTTACTGGCTGCGGTGGTGGCTTTGTAGTGTAGCTTCTACATTAGTTGTGTCCAGTCCTCTTAAAGAAGCCTAATAGTAATTCATTAGCCTTTTCCTTTGTTTTCCACAGCTTCTGGAGCCTGTTTGTCACCAGCTCTTTGAACTTTATCGCAGTTCTGAAGTTCGGCTCAAGAGATTCACCTTGCAGTTTTTGCCTGAGTTGATCTGGGTTTATCTGCGTGTAACTGCCAGCAGGGATAGGCAGAGTAACGGTTGCATTGAAGCATTGCTGCTTGGCATTTATAACTTGGTGAGTGAGACAGGCTAGCACTTGCACTTCAGGCTTCATACTTGTTTTGAGTGGGACTGTAATTTTAAGAATAAATTCAAGTAACCTGAAGTGACTAGATTTGGCAGTTAAATGCAAAGGTAATTTTTTATTTTACTGGAAATACTCCTCCATCATTATGAGGCTATTTAATAAATCAACAGTACTGCCAGTAAAGGCATTCTCTAGTGAGAAACTTCCATTTTAAAGGATTTTAAAACATATTACCCTTTTAAACTACATTACCCAGTTGCTGACATTTTTCTGTGCATCTTTCTTAAAGTCCAGAATAAATCTCTTGCAGTATATTAAATTCCAGGAAAACTCTTCCCATTATATCCTTAAAGCCAACTGCAAGTACTGTGCTACTTTGCACTAAATTTTTACATAAACTGGAATATCTGAGGCTCATTGTTTTGAAATTTACAGTACAATGTGAGGATTTTAGACCTTTTTTGATGAAGTTCTATATAATTGCCCTTACTAATTATATTTGCTTTAAAAACTGCTGTTTTGCTTATATAGTAGCCTAGCAACTATAAAATCTGATCAGTTAGAGGTTTTTTTTTCCCAAGAGGCTTTCTGTGTATTTCTTACTGATACCATGCCTGCAGAAACATCGCCAGTCCCCTTGATTTCACCTTTCTCTGTGGTGGAGACACTATGAAGTACAGCAAGTGACTCATCAAGCCTGATGCATCTTTATCTCATGGCCCTAAAGTTTAGCCTTGCACTAGTGTGCAATTCTAGAGGAGTGCAGTTTTTCTAGATGTGCAGTTTTGTAGGAGGCTAGAAAAGCTTTTAATTCCTTTTTTTTCCACTGCAGAAGGCACAATGATCAAGACGGCAAATCCTGTTTGTGTCCATAGTATAGGTCTTTGCCCATGTTTATATAAACTTGTGTATATATAAATCTTGTGTATATAAATTCAGCAATATTCTGCATACACACAAAGACCTTAGGGCGAGAAGTGCTGTGTTTGATTTATTGGTACTGTTAACTATCCTTTAAGGCTGTAGAAGATCCCAAATCCCATAGCCTTACTTCTGCGGTGTGTTCTTGTCTTTTTGTTTTGTTTTTAAACTGCAGGAAATTGCTGACAAAGATGGAAACAACAAAGTTTTGTCTTTCACCATCCCCTCATTATCTAAACCCTCAATATATCATGAGGTAAGAGTGCTGCTGTGGCAAGTCAGAAATAGACCTATTAGAGGAATGAAAACGGGATGCATTTGATGCAAGAGTATATTTTTTAAGTCATCTTGTTGCAAGATACTGACACTGAAACTTTAGTGCAATTAGTGTAATTAATTCAATAGCAGTAATAGAACAGCCAAGTAAACATTGAAAAATACTTGCTTACACTACAGATTGAGGATGGAGGTTTGTTTGGTGTTGTGTTGATGAAAACCACTACCAACTGGTTTTCCATTGTTATTGCTGTGTTGTTTTTTTATTTTCCTTTGTCTCTTGACTGATGGGAAAGACAGCCTATTTCTTTATTCCAACTCCTAGTTAATACAGTTTGAACTATCACCTCTTCTCTTGCTGGTAAATGTAGAAGCTGTTTATAATAAAATTTGGTTATGTTTTAATTTTACTATATTTTGGAATTTTCAGTTTTATAGATTAGTAGGCAAGGGTTTTTTTTATTTGATGTTTTAGAAGCATTTATGCTTTTGATCTTCTTTTACTTACGTTTTCATTTTTTATCTTTTTCTTTTTTCCTCCCACCATCTACTTCTAGCCCTCTACAATTGGATCCATGGCTTTGACTGAGGGAGCTCTGTGTCAGCATGACCTTATCAGGGTAGTTTATAGCGATCTTCATCCTCAGAGAGAAACCTTCACAGCACAGAACCGGTAAATGGATGCATTCTAACATTTTAGATGTTTCACTAGACAGATAACAAATCTCGAAGCATTAAGTCCTTTCTGAACATTAAGTGCATAGAAATAAAGCTAGCAAAGCAAATCAGTAACTTTATAATATTTTTGTTATTACTTCCAAGCTGGTGTGTTCTCACACTTGTTAGGTAAAGTAACTTCTCTGTCTTCTCTGCAGTTGTCAGGGCTATCTTTGGGTTTATGCTTGTCAATTCAAATTGTCTGGAAAGTCTAACACAACTCAATTTTGTCTATGAAGCTGATACTGTCATGGAGATGAGTGGACAGAAGTAGGTATGAGAGATTTCAAGGGTTCTTGAATTTCTATCCACTGAGTGATTTCTATCCACTCAGCTCCATTACAATCTCTGTTCAAATATTATGCCAAAATATAATGTCATAACTCCTTCATATGCTACTGATTCTCAGTAGTAATGATTTGAAATGTTTAATAGTGAATATTTGGTAGCCTATTTCAAGTTAGTTTCATCAAAGGTGATGTCAGGATTTGTGTCTTTACATCTGATACTTTCTTGGGTATTTTTTGAGTCTGAGATGTGGAATTTTGTTTAAAATTTTAGTAGAATATTAAGAATTTAAACTATGCAAGGTTTTGCTTTTGTCTCTTTTCAGGTTTGAGGTGCTGAGCTTTCTCATGCTGTGCTACAATTCTGCTATTGTCTATATGCCTGCCTCTTCCTACCAATCACTCTGTAGGATGGGTTCCAGGTGAGACTCTTGTCTTTGAAATAGTCCTGCAGAGCACATCCACTTTTGTAGGTATCCATTCTGCAAAAGAAAATGGATTTAGTTGCTGTGTTTGATAGCTTGAAAGATGTAGCTTTTTGTCAATCCTGCGACTTAATTGGAAGCTCAGTGCTGTGCTTGTGTGCACAAAAACACAGGGACTGTTTTCCTACTGCATTTGTTTTAGTTATGTAACACTTCATTATCTGAAACAATGAGTTTGGGGGAAAATTAGTCTGACGTTGCTCTGGCTTATTTGCTTAACTGGTCTTATGTGTCTTGTTTACTTTTTTCAGTATGGTCTGCTTTAAAATCTTGTCAAGAATGCCATCAGTTTCCTACACTTCCAATTATTAACATGTCTTGCTTTTTGGGTGGCTTAGATAAAATGCTTGTGTGATATTCTGGACTTCAGCCTTTGTGGTCTTTGAAGTATAGATTCCACAGAACTGTATTCATTCAGCTAAAACAATCTATTGTTCCACATTTGAGCTTGCATTCAATGTAACCTCATAATGCTCTTTATTTTAAATTCTTATTTTCTGGTCGTTTTGCCCATTAATTCTGTAATTGTGTATAATCCAGATAATAAATATTTATAGTGGGAGTTCTTTTGCTCTAAAAAACTGGTAATGGAAATTCTTTTCAACCCTGATTTCCATTTGTAAATCCACTAAGTTTTTCCTACCAAATTTCAGGTTAGAAATTACTAACCTAGTAACCAAGTGTGTCTTAAATAAGGTATTTAATGTCAAATTTAAAATTGTCCTTTAAACACCAGAGAAGTAGCATTTTCTTGAGAAACTCTAAAAATTGGATAGTGAATACATGCTTTGCGGCTACCCAAACGTTATTTTTTGTAACACTCCTTAAGGAAATGAAAATCAACCAGTATAGCTGATTATATGGGTAATGTTGCCTGTGCATTTTTAAATCTTTTTTTTCTTTTTTGATAGCTGAACTCAAGGGATATGTTCTGCTTTAGATGGGGATATTTTATTATTATTATTATTATTATTATTATTATTATTATTATTATTATTTCAGGAGGGTAGTGTGCCTCTCTTGACGAAGAGACCATTTCTTCCTGTGGGCAGTCTTGGCAGTTGTACTTAGTTATTATCAGGAGTCTTTGGACTTTCTTGATCTTTGTCTATCTGGCTTTAGGATTATGTCTAGTGAAGAAGGTGATTTGGAGACAGCGGGGAGGAAGGATTCCTCTGTGTCCTAAATATTCTCCTATTTCTCATGTTTTAACCCTAAGTGTTCTTTCTTAGTGCGTATTCAGTTGAAAAATTGGTAGGTGGGGATGTTCCAGGTAATTTGATTCAGAGGGCTCTGCAGTCCACTCTGAAACTGGAGCCGGATAACTTTGAATAGCAACTCACCATCTGAAACAGAATAGTACCTGAGGAAAACAGTCTTATCTGATGAATTTAATTGGCAGCATTTATCTTCTTGTTGTTTTCAGACTCTGTACCTTTATGCAGCTCTTGCTCTATAAATTGCTTGTCTTTTATCAGCATCCTAATGCTCACTACAAATTGCCTTAATATAGAACATGTAAAATAGAACTTAAAATATCTTGTTCAGTGTGAAAGTGAACAGCGAAGGTTCACGTCACCATGCTTCATTTTCTGTCTGTTTCCTAGCAGACATTGTCTTTTTTATAGCACACTGAGGTAAGAGCATCTGCTGTTACAAATCTTAAACCAAAGAACAAGTCTACCAATACCTGCTTTGTAGGATGTTTGTTCCATGCTGTGCTGCATGGTGTTACAAGTATTGTATTAAAGTACAAACTTTATAAAATAATTTAACATAATGAATGGTTAAAATTCTTGTGAATTCTGAATAAATATATCTTTCTTCAGGTGCAAGTGCACCTGTAAGTTGAAAGGTTCAATGTTCTTTTGATGGAAGATGTTTGACTGACCTTTGTAAATGCCTTGGGGGTATGTGTGTATTTTTTTTTCTTTCTTTTGTGCACTGCCCTCTGTTTGCAGTGGACTCAGTGCATTGCAGGATATAAGAAGTCAGGTCCTCTTCAAAGGCCTGAAAAGTAGTTTTCAGGAACAGTTTCTGTATTACTCAAATTTAGTAAAATTTGACTATATGCTATAGGAGATAAGCTGTCCGTTCCATGAGACTTAAATGTCTCCCTTAAGGAAAATTGGCTTGGGTTACAGATTTTTATGGGCGAGTCTCAAACTTGTCAGCTAGCAGCAGAGAACACCTTGCCACCTTCCTTCTTTAGAAGGTGGTTATGATTTGAAGAAAACAGATGTTGGTAATGACTGTATGGGTGAAGCACTCATGGAATTGTTGGCCACATTTCAAGACAATGTTCTGAAACTACCTTAACAGTTGGAAGAGCAGCATAAGAGATGTTGTATGTTGAGTAATTGCATTGTGACAATTTTGAAAATAGAACAAAATCTGCAATGTAAATAAATTGTTTGCCTTTGTAAAGGCAAACAATCTGCAATGTAAATAAATTGTTTGCAATTGGGGCTAATGTTTTGTTACAATTTTTTTTTTTTCTTTCTTCTTTCCCCAGGTTGTGTGTAAGTGGCTTTCCACGGCAGCATGAGAAACACTGGAAGGAACACTGTGGTAGAGTGGTGTTAGACCCTGACTTTATGGTGCAGCTGCTGACAGGTGTCTATTATGCCATGTAAGTAGGTGGTTCTTTTTGGTAGAAAAATTAATGGCTGGGTTTTCATGAATTAAAATATCACGTTTGATGGTTTATAATTGAAAGCCTGTAATGAAACCTGTGTACAACATGAGTCCAACTGAATTTGTATTTTTCCCCTTACTTGCTTGTCCAACTAATAATACCTCTGCCAGCATGTAAGTGGGGAATGAACAGTCAGCAGTAGGTGCTTCGAGTGAGAGGCTCCTGGTTTCGTCTTTGGCAAAGTTGCCATCACTATGAGATACCTTTTGTTCACAAATACAACGAGCTTGGATGCAAAAATACATGATGATGAAGTGTCTTATTGAGTGCCAATAGCTACTGGGTTAGCCTAAACCCATTTCTATATAGAAATTTAAGCCTTCAAGGAATGTTAAACTTTACATCTCTCTTTTTTCTTTTTCTTTTTTTTTTTTTCTTTTTTACTACTATGTAAATTTTCATCTTGGCATAAGCTTTATCTTTCTCAGAGATGAGAGGGAGCAAAGTTTTTGTTATGCCTACAAAATTAATACAAAGATGATATGTCACTGCTTTTGGAAGAAATAGAGACATTTGGACATGAATGCTATTGATGAATATTCCACACAAACACAAAAGTGAAGGCTTGGATTACAATTTTGTCTGTGTAAAATACTGAAAGAGAAATTCTTTCCTTTCTAGATATAATGGTCAGTGGGATCTTGGCCAGGAGGTGCTAGAGGACATAATTTACAGAGCACAGCTTGAACTCTACTCACAGCCTCTGCTGGTAAGAAACAATCTCCTGAAATGTATGGTGTTAAAGAGTATAGAAGTGTTTCCTAAATGGACTGGTAATGAAAGCATTTGTGGCCATTTACTGCATTCCCAATTGCAAGTGGTTGTCAACAGCTGTTGTTTTCAATGTAGCTATTTATATCTTGCCTTTTCTGCTTGAATATTAAGAGAGGGTGCTAGAATCTCTTTGGGTACACTGATGCTGACAGCCAGGATTTTCTAATGTTTTACACTTGGATCAAAATGTTTGTGCTCTTTCGCTCTTGGCTACCTATGAGCGATTCAAAGTTTAACTTAATAATTCTGTCATAGGTCATCAATTGTAGCGGAGGAGAAAAAGGTGTTTTTCTTGCTTTAGACTTCTGCAGGATTTAGAATATGTTGTATGTTTTAACTATCAACGCAGTAGAAGAGCAACAACAAAAGTGAAAAAAAGGTTTTGCATCTAGAACCAGTTGGTTTTTCACTGATTGAAGTCACACACTTGTTAACCTTCTCCTTTAGAACAGAGAAAACCACCATTCTGTTGCTGCTATTTTTTTACCCTAGTTTCCACTGTAATTCCTATCATGAAGATAGAGAGAGAAATAAAAATGAGACAGAGTTATGAAACTGAGCTAGATACAGGTGTGTATGAGCGGGGAAAATGGAGAGGCTGACAGATGGAAAGGAGAAATGGAAGGATTTTGGTTTTGTTAGATATAGGAATGAAGGATCAAAGGAAGAAGAAAAATAAGGAGACAAAGTAGAATAGAGTGTTATCTCAGTTTTTCAATCAGAGTTGTTGCTCTAAGGCTTTGGTCCTCTGCTGAACTAAGAACAGTAAGTTTTTACTGTTGCTGCATAGCAGAGAAATGGATTGGGAAAAATCTTTTTATGTGGCACTTGGACATCCCTATCTTCTCCAGTGAGGTAAAATTGTTCTCTTGATGAATTAATATCGGCTGAAAAATTTATTTGGCGGCTTTTTGTGAGTGCTGCATTTTAAATACATCTTATCCATTGAATTGTTATAATAGCTGTTTCCTTTTGGAAATGACTCATTGCTCCATCAGACTGAAAGTTTTAAATTGAATATTGAACCTGTGGAATTGAGCCATTTTATCAGAATATACTACATTTAGGAGGTATGTGGGAGGGTCTGGAATTTAATTCAATTGATTATATGACAATTTTCAGTCTTATGTGTTCACTTTTAATCAACTTTTTTAGATGAGTTCCAATTGAGAGAATCTTCTAGAATGTCTTTGTTTTTTGAAAGCTATTTTTGCCATTCAGGCCACCTTTTTTGGTGATGGTAACATTCTTTTGGGTGTATGTGCATATATCTGTGCACTCTTTTCTTAGTATTTCGATCATCACCATTTTCCTGCAGTTGGTAAAGAACAGTTTTATGATAGTGTTAAACTTCTGAAAAGACGACTTTTGTGTCCTTGGCCTCATGCTGTATAGTCAAATGATTTGACCTTTTCAAAGGGAATGGACCCCATTCATCTAGTCATTTTCTCCTGGAAACGAGTATAATTTAGTGGCATTATAAAATTTTGTATTTTAAATGCTTAAAACTACTAGCACAAAATAAAATACCATCTGTGCATCCTCCCACATAGGTTTTATCATCAGCCTTTGCCTAAGACTGCTTAACAGCAACGAATTCTTCTAGGTCCATTTAGGATTTAGGCAGTTTTCTGCAATAGGATTATATTTAGCTCTCTGTACTCAGGTCATTGTTGTAATTAAGACTGCCAGTCATCATCAAAGCACAGTCCCTGTATTGGGTACATCCTTGGAGAAATATTTTTGACAATGTGGTGGTTCACTGCTCTTATTTAAACTGTTTTCTATTGTCTGTACAGTCTTTAAAAAAAGCATCAGGAAGCTACGAAGCTACGAAATAGCTTAAATTTAGAAGTATTTTGCTAAGCCACATTCTTTCAAAGATACTGCACTAGAAATGGCAGGAAGTAATGCAAGAAAAAAGCTTCTTGTGGGAGAAGTATATCTATAAATAAATACTGCCTGTCAGATTCATAGCCACAAAAATTGAAGTTTCAACAGGGGAAAGTTAATCAACAGATTCTAGATAGTATTTCTACCAAGCTACCCTGGACTCAGGAGGTAGCTCAGGACAAGTTAGGCAGTCTCTTACTCTCAGCACAAGCATCCTGGGCTAAGTTTCAAAATGAAACTTGTCTCTGCTGTCTTCAGTGCAGAGGCAGCCAGACTTTCCTGGCTTGCTAGTCAAGAAGCATAGACCTGGTTAACTGTATTGTAGCAGTTGTTATTGTAGTGTACTGTAATAGTATAGATATCTTTTATTGGTGTACTTTATTGCATTTGGATTTGTGCTTGCTAGGGAGCCTGGGACAGAGTGAGAGGAAATAATTGGGATCCTGAAGAATTGTTTTTGGGGAGGTGGGGTTTGTTTTGTTGCATTTTTCTTCCTGACCTAGAAGGGCTGTGACTCATGCAAACTGGTTGTTTGGATTGTTTCAAACTTTTACTGTGCATTAGATTATATTTTAGATTAATTTTATTGCCATATGGTTCTCCTCTGTCCCCAAAGTACAAATTGTGCTTTTAAGAATTAGCTGTTACAAGGCCCAACAAGTGTTCTGTCACTTTCCTGGTCCTAAAAGCTTTCTGCTACTAATTTTTCTTTAAGTCTGTTTACTGAGGGAAAGTCCCTACACAAAAGAGACTGCAACTCTAGTAGATAAAAGGCAGGAAGACAAAGCCTGCTTCATATACTGCTGAGCTCCATCTTTGCTTCAATAGAGCAGAAATGAATTTCTGAGGTCTTAATTATGATCAAGGAGAAGATGAATGAGTGAGGCTCATATCGTTTCAGGAGGGCAGCATGGAAAAGGACCTGTGAGCGAATGGAGGCTAGCAAAGGGCAAACCAAAGCTGGACAGGTGGAAAATAGAACAATAAGGAACATTTCTTCAGCAGAGCTAGTGCTTTTTTGTGTTACTTGGGTGTCAGGCTGCTAACCAAAGATTTTGTTAGCTAAACAAATTCAGTGTACGGGGGCTTTGGGAGCTTAAGGTGTTTGTGGTATGTTCCTTAATATTTCCCAGGTGTATGTTAATGGTGTAGTATTGAGACTGTAATGATGAGATTAAAAAATGTCTTAACCTTGCCATTAGGTTTAGGGGAACAACTGAAAATGTTGCTTTTAGGGCAAAACCAGGAAATGTTTAATTTTAATAATACCTTAAACAGTAGGAACTATTGCATTAGCCAAGACACAAGACTTGTGTACTTAGACTTCACTACCAAGTAGTACTTACTGCTTATTACAAGACTCAATAAAGAGAATGCCAATTTTATTTGCAGAAAAGGAAGAATTTCCTTTGTGTAAAAGGAAATTCCTTTTTCTCCTTTGTGTAAAAGGAAGAAAACTTTTACACGTTGTCAGAAATGTGGAGTATCGGGCAAAAGATATATGTTACAAAGCAGTTCTGTATTTCATTTAATTGAGCAGAACTGCCAAACTCATTTTGTCCAAATATTAAAGTTTGCATGTTTTGCCTTGAGCTAACTAGCAAACTGTATGGATTAAGAGATTTGTTTCTCTTGCCATACAGTGAATTTTGATCCATGACATGGGTGTTTTCAGTTTTTATTTTTCTCCCCTCTCTCCCTGATACAGGTGGCAACGTTGTATTGCTCTTCATAATGCCTCTTGTAAACTGTAGTGGAGACAATAGCGTGCCACAAATTGGCTTGTGATCTATCCAGATCTAGCTCTGTGACAGGAATGGTGCTGGGGTTGTTTTCCTTCTTATTTTGCAGTCTCTGTTGTTTGGAAGATCTCCTGTCCTCTTGCCCATATAAATGGCAAATTTGGAACAAAATGTATTCCCTCAAAAAAGAGGGGAAAAAAAAATGGGGAAAATTCAGTTGTATGTGGGGAGCATAGATACATGATGAACTTCTCAACTTGGTTATCAACTGTGAATCTTCAAGGTGGCGCCTTATCTGACTTAAGTCTTGGTTTTCCCCTCTCTTTGATGCAGCAAAGAAATCTAAGTAATATTGCTGAGGGCCATTAAGAATGACAGTAATATAGCGTTTTACTGTTATCTTAGGTTGCAAATGCCATGAAGAACTCACTGCCCTTTGATGCTCCTGATGCCTCACAAGAAGGCCAGAAGGTACTGAAAGTGGAAGTTACCCCCACGGTGCCGAGGATTTCTCGCACTGCCATTACAACAGCTTCTATTCGTCGTCATCGCTGGAGGAGAGAAGGTGACCTTACTCTGCCAGCAGTAAACACTGTAGCATACTGTGTTCATCTCCATCAGTGTAACCTGGCTTCTGAGTTTGATTGTTTGCAGAATAATAACTATTTCTTTTGAAAGGCTATGCTCTGTAGCAGTGTGTAGTATTTTACATCTTCAGAGCACTGCATGAACATGAACATTAGTGTCTGTTCTTTACTTGATAGCTTGTGAGGTAGGTAAGTAAATAGAGAAATTGGAAAACGTTAAGCAAGACTTTCTCCATGTTAGCCTAAAACTGCAGTGGTAGAGTTTAGTTTAGAATTTGAGTTCTTCCCTTTATCTGCACTAAAACTCAAATGCCTGCCATAATAAATAGCTCAAGCAATGGTATCACCTTGGTAGGGTTCCAGCTGACCAGACCCACTGAATACAGTGGGAGATGGAAGACCTGAACATCATTTATACCATCACAGGGTCCCATTTACAGAAGAAATATGTCATGAACTGGTTTAGGATAGCTAAAGAAAGTTCTCTTTTTTGTAAGAGAGCGCTTCTCCATATGGAAGTGTACTTGACTTTATGAAAAATAAAAATATGTAGTAGTATTTACCCTGATATATCTTCAGTGTAGGTGAAGCAAAGAGCTTGCTTTGAAATCACTTTGTCATACTTAAACAGCTTTGATGCTGCATGTATAAAACATCAAAAAAAAAAAAAAAGCGCTGCCTAAATGGCTGAAGGTTAAAAAGTAGAGTAACCTGAAAATAAACTGAGGGTAGAGGAGTCTGAATACAAATACTGCATTATCTGTTGATACTTTCTCTTTTTTTTTTTTCTTATCTGTTTTGTATCATGTGCCCAAGGGATTTAATGACCCCTGGTTCTCATCTGAATCAGGATATCCAGGACAAGAAACAAGTGTCTTCTATCTTGAGGACTCTGAGTCATGTTTGTCTTTACTGTAGTTGCCATTATATTCATTTGCTAGTCTCTGGTCTACAGTATAGCCCACCTGTCCCTTTCTGTGGATGTTCTCACAATTTTCAACTAAGCATGGGTAGTGCTTTATGTTTGTTCCGTGTCCGCTTAAATCTTCTATTTTCCCTGCCTGGGTTGGAATATCAAGAAAGGAACAGAAGCACACTAAAATGTTATATGTTGAATCCCAGATGGCTTTGACTTCTCAAACGAGGCTGACTCAAGCATTCCTGGCTCACCGATCCAACACGGCTGCACAGACCTAGGGATCAAACGTGAGCAAGAGGGGGAGGTGCTGATGCGCAGGACCCCTGAGCATGGCTTCCCGGAGCCCACCTTGACAGCAGCCACAACAGAGGGTAGGACAGAGATGAGGAGGCAGAAGTCAGTGAGGCAGTTGCTGGAGGAGGATCCCGGCTCCCTATCCCCAAGCAGAACTTCTTTCCATTCTAGTGTGTGTTTCCGCTATCCCAGGGTGTATTAGCTTCTCTTTGCAATACACGCATCCCCTATATACCTAACATCAGGTCAGGTACTACCTTTTATTATCACATGGGCTGGCCTGGGGCTTGCATCTGTGTGGTGAAAGACTGCTTGGCATGGCTTAAAAAAAAATACGAGGATAATAGCCAAGAGCATTGGGATTGCTTGGAAACTTTCTATTACTGAGCATGTTTAATATTCAGAAGAAAAAGATGCACCAGGTGACCATAAATCTAGTCCTGAAGACCAATCAGTATAAACAGATTGGCTACAACTTAATTCCAACTGCGTCTTGCTAGTGCATGGTTTTCAAATTTCCAAGAAAGATTCCTCTTTCGGTTAAAAGTCAAGCCTATCCAATGGATTTATTTGCCAGTTCTTCCTTTAAATGAAGATTCACGTGCTTACAACTAGTTCACATGAATGAACTAGCTGTTTTAAAAACAAAAAGTTTAAAACAAAACCCAGCTTCAGTAATGCTTCTGAAAACTTCAAACCCAGTGATTGCTTTCTTTCACAGTTGTACTGTTCAGGTAGGATAGCTGGTAGAGATTCATTTAATTTAAGCTCATCTATTAATTTTCTTATCTTTACTCTGTTAGGGTCATGCATTTGAGCATTGAATTTGAGTCATGAATCTTCAGAAATGATGAACATTCTCATTTCTTGTGAATTTAGATAAATATACTTTAAAGAGTTCTCTGATCTTAAGTCTCCTTGGCTATCTGAATATTGAGTATTTCCAACATCTATAAGCATATCAGTTTATCAAAACTGAGAATTATTTCCCAATTTGGGAGTAAGCTACATGGCTTTTAGATTTGTTCTTCTGAAAAAATAGTATGGAAAATTTAAAGGTTTAATGGATTGTTATTACAGAATCCCTACCATTAATCAGAGTTGCTATCAAATGATAAATAACATTCCTCTGTAGAGAGAAGATGCATAAAAATGTTTAGTGTGGGTTATAATCTACTCCTTGGTGCATAGTCAGTTTGAGCATGCTCAGTAAATGAGTCCTGTCCTCTCCTAAATTCATGTACAATTGATCTAACTCCGTTTCACTAACCTTTGCATGTGCATGACCTGAAGGATATGGAGAAGTCTTCAGTTTTGTAGAGAACCTTCTGAGAAAGAAAGGAAGTAGGAATGGGACAGCCTAAAGATGGCCTTCTGTTTTTTTTCTTTTTAAGATATATTTGTTATTTACGTGTTCTTGAAGAATGCATCATTCCACATGTTTTACCCAAATAGAAGTGGGTTGAATATCCTTTACTTTTTTAAATATTAGCAGTATATAATTATATATGTGAACAAACTGAATTCAGCCAGTTGATAGCATCCAGGAGGAGCCCAGGGAATGGAGTTAGATTTGATTATCAGTATAGCTGTGTGTATGCGTGTGTGTGTGTACATATATGTAGTGCTCTAATCTCTTACAAATGCTGATTTTACAGAGAATGTGGGTTAGCTTCTGTTAAAAAATCAGTATGATACTGAACAGTATCGTATGGGTCCCATCACTTCTAGTGACTCTTCCACCTTTTGGATATTGAAAGGATAAGCACAATTAATGTCATTTGAATTATATAGAACCCCTTTTCGGATCAGTATTTTGATCTAGTTAAAGCAAAATGGCAGAAGGTCTCAGGAATCTCGGGAATGCCTCAGAAAGGTGTTCTCTTGCATTAGTAGTAGGTATATGTGCATTATCTTGGATCCATGGAGAAAACTGCATCTACATCTGCCAGATTAACTATGTACTAGCATTAATAAGGTATACCTTGGAAAGGGACTGATCCTAATAGGGAACAGTGAGATTCCTGAAGAGACCGTGTAGGGCAGTCAACTTGCTTTGTGTCACATTGCTCTAGCTCTCTTAATTCTGGCATTATAGTACAAGAGGGAGGAGGGGTTTAGCTTTTTTTCTTCTTCCTCCCCCCTCCTTTTTTTTGGTGGTTTCTGAGAGCAGCTTTTAGAAGAAGAATAACTTGCATTGAGAAAAGTGTATGTTTGCCGAATTACTCAAGTCCCCCTGAGATTTTTCCTAGATACATGACATCAAACTAAACAGAAATTCTCTCGCATGTTGTCTTCTCTATTTTCTTCACTTCTGAGCACTGCTGAGCTGCTTGGGGCTCTGTGTAGTTGCAGCATCCAAAAGCTTGCAGCAACCCTCTCAAGTCTTCCCTCTAAATTCTGTGTACAAAATGCCATTTTTTCTGTGTGACTTTGCTTCTCTGGCTCTGAATAGGGGATGTCTGTTTTAGTACATCCTGTTACTCAGAAATGCCATGAGACAAACTGAAGAAGGGCTCATGTTCCTGTAAAAATAGAAATCTTACAAGTATTGTATTTGGAGATACCTTCTTTCAAGCTACTTATCTTGTGCTTCAATAAGAAAGGATTGAGAGGGGAGTTTAGCTGCTGCTATTGCTGCTTGTAACCAAGTACACTTTCATCCAGCTTTGCATGATGATATAAAGGAACATGAAATGATGGTTTATTGAAAAAATGTTTTCACTATGTTCCAGTTACATCATCCTTTTGTTAGTACCTTTGCTAATTATGTGTGGGAAGGTTTGGGGGGAATAGAGATGTGGATTGTGAGTAAAATAATTTATTGTGCTATGTAAGAAAATAGATGCATGTCTTAATGAGAAGATGAAGGCCTAGTTTCATAATGTGTTTTAAATATGGATGCAGGAAGCTAAAACAAGTGTAACACTTCATTTTAATGATATCCTTTGAAAATTAAAGAGTTTTCTAATTTAAGATTAAAACTTTATCCAGGGAGGAAGACTGCAGTAACACAGACTATCTTGCTGCTTCTGGGAGGCTAATGAGTCAAACGGAATCATACGGAATGAGGGAATATCCTCTCATTGCGTTGTTCTGAGAGAGACCTGAGAATAAGCTGATTTGGAGAAGGCTGAACATCTTTTGTAGGCTGATTCACTTGTAGTAATTCCAAAGCAAAGTTTCCTAAAAAGAAAAATTGATATAAAACAAACAGCAACAAAATAACTGAACAATAACAAAGCTATGATGAAGTACTTTATGCTTCAGAAATTTGACGTTGAATCAAGCTGTATACTTTTTATACTAAAGCGGCAATAGTGAAGGCTTTGTGTCTTTTCTACATGCCATGCTTTAATGCTTCTTTGTGCACTGCTAACAGTCAGTATGAAAGGATAAGGTTCTACTCAAATGGTAGAAACTTTTAAGATTTTTGCCACTGCTGTTTCCTCATTCCACAAAAGAGGTGTTTGCTCAGTGGCATGCGGGCTGAGCAAACTGCCAATGAAGCAACACAGTGGTTGCATCTATGACAGATGCATAAACTTTGTGGATTTCCCACAAATAGTCAAGCACTACAGCTTTCGTAAAGAAAAGCAAAATTTGTGTAGCCTAAATGTCTCCTTTTTTTTTTTTCTCTAAACATGGCTAAATTTCATGAGTTTTAACTCTCAAAACAAGATACCTGGAGCAAAGACATCAAGCTCTGTTTCCAGTTTTGAATTTCAAATGCTATTCAGTTTTCTAGTGAAGCAGTAACTGTTACTCTGTTTTGAGTATTTGGAGCTAAAAACAAGAACTGGGATAAGATTTAAAAAAAAAAAAAAGTACAACCATAATCACATCATAAGACTGAAAGCAAGAATTTAATAAGGATTTTTTTTCTGGGTCATTTCCCCCATTCTCCCCCCCACTTTAGAGACCTTACTCAGAAGCAGAAAAAAAGACTTGTACAACATGAAGTATTTCAGAGATTAAACTTGATACATGGAAATTTTCTTTGAAATATCTAGATGCCCAGATTAAAGTAAATGTGATGGAAGCATGATGATGGGTTAGCTAGAAGAGGATTGAGCTGTGGAGCGAGAACAAGAAATTAGGTTGCTCTCCAACAGCAAACTTAGTCACGTTTGAACTAACAGCTACACAGCAGAAGCCTTCTACTTTTGTTGGAACATTGAGATTCCCGCTGCCCTGGGAAGTGACCTAATTTTGCTCACTTGGTAATAACTTGGTCTGACAGAAATCTTAAAATGCTCACATCTTGCCCCCAACCAGGATGAAGATAGTCTGAAAAGATTTTGCCTTTTTTGGTTGTGTGGGAGAACTGGGACCAGTTAATGCAGACAGAGCTAAAACAAATTAATCCAATGAGGCCTTTCTCATGGTAACTGGTACTCCTGACTTAATGATATAGAGAAAAGCCAAATCAAGCTCAGAGAGTACTTATTGTCAAGCCCCTTATTATAGTGCATATAATGGGAAAATTACTCTAAAAGAATTAGAAATTTTTAAGCAGGATGATTTAAGTAGAAGTCATCTGAATCAGCAAACAAAGCTTGTTCTGATATTCTGTGTGCATCTGTATGTAACCGAAATGTTTACTATATGTTCTGATTGGTTTCGGGGGGTTTTGGTTGTTTTTTTCTTTTTTTTTTTTTTCTTTTCCTCATTAGATGCTGAAGGTGTAAATGGAAGAGAAGAATCTGTGAACCTTAATGATGCTGATGAAGGGTTTTCATCAGGCGCTTCTCTCAGCAGCCAGCCAGTTGGGACCAAACTTCCATCATCTGTATCCCAGAAGGGTAGCTTCAGGAAAGCAGCAAGTGGGCGTTCTGCTAAGGATAAAGAAAGCTCTTCTGCAGCAAAATCCAGTGAGAGCCCTCGAGATTCAGTAGCTCGGAAGCAGTACGTGTACCAATCCACTGACCTTGGTGCAGATGTGATGGAGATGACACCTACTAAGAAACACCTCAGCCTGCCTGCTGGGCAGGTGGTGCCAAAAGCCAACAGTTTGAGTCTGATTAGGACCGCCAGTGCTTCCTCCAGCAAATCATTTGACTATGTGAATGGCAGTCAGGCAGGCTCCAGTGTTGGCGTTGGCACAGAGGGTGTCACCAATCTAGCAGCTGGCAACACCAATCGGTTTTCAACTATCAGCCTACAGGAGGATCGACTGGGCCAAGCTGGGGAAGGTAAAGATCTCCTTCCCCCAGGAGCTCCCCTAACCAAGCAGTCTCGATCTCCGAGTTTCAATATGCAGCTGATATCCCAAGTGTAGCTGGCTCCCTTCTTAGGACTCCCTTTTCCCCCTTAATCCCTAGGCAAGTTCATCCTTGGGCAAAACAAGAACCGTCATCCCACAGTGTGAAAATACTGTCGTGATCTTGTTTGATTCGGTTTAGATATAATACTGTATCTTGTACTGAAACAGCAATAATTCTTCCCTCGCCTTCATTCTCACCCCTTGTAAACATGGTTGTGAAGCAGTATATAACGTACTGTATGCCTTTTTCCATGCCTTCCTTTCTCCTTGGGTGATGTGCAATCCATCGTAGGCTGATCAGTCCCATTTCAACACTGTGAGACTGGAGACACCGGCGGAAATGGTGAATGTGATCCCTATGAAATGATGCTTTGGCTTTGTTAAGAAATAGAAATGGGTTTGTTTTCTCGGTCTACAGTACTGCAAAGACTACTGGATCATGACTTTTCTTTCTCAGAACCAGGAGTGCCTCAGAGATTCTAATGTGACTTTGGACCTCTCTGAGTCTGTGCAATCAATTCTGGGGAGGGGATTGTCATTGCTGCTCCTGGCTGCCTACAGCACTTTTTCATTAAACAAGGGTAGTTTATTTTCTTGCCTGCCCCAGTCTCTCCTCCAAGAAGCTTTTGATGTTCGGCCAACAAGACGTGCATATTACCAAGTTGTTGTCCCTCAGAGAGAGGGTTGTAAGTAGGTAATGTAGGTTACAATGCACTTCTAATGGCGTTGTAGCCATATGTGATGTTGTATGTCTTCCCCTCCAGGACACAGGGTTATTCTGCGTATAGGCTAAAATTTAGACAAGACTATGCTGGTAAAGCAGTTTGGCTCATAAGTGGGAGGGAAACACTACTTTCCCAGGAACCAATAGCTAGCTCTGCTCCAATTTTTGTTGTTGTTACTGTTGTTGTTGTTCATGTGAGGTGATGATCACTGAATTGAAAGGTGTATTCGGGTAAAGAATATTTCTCAGGCTGCTTTCTATGGTATCATGGCTAGTGGACACTCCCATCCCTCAGCTGCTTTCTCAGTGTCCCTAAATTCAATCATGGAGTGATTTTATGAATCTTGCAGTCCAGACAGGCCATCCTCTAAGGGGCTGTCTCAGGGATCGAGACGACGATTTGGTAGAAACACTGAAGCTTCGATGTGAAACACTTTCCTAGAAATATCGTTTGTACCAAGTGGTACTGACAGTCCGTTTTTTCCAGAAGGACCACACTTTGCTGCCTTTGTATTTATAATCTGTTAAGGTGTTGTGGGTTCTCTTGTTTGGTTTTGTCTTTAACTGTCCTGCTATTTTAGTTGATTGGCCCTTACTGTAGAAAATTCAGAACTCATGCCATTGAGCCAAACCTTGAATGTACATGACTGGTGTGTGGGCACAGGCTCGTACTTAGGCTCGAGGACTCTGCTTAGAAGCACATACTCCTGGTTGCACAGGAACTGCTTGTCATTCTCCTTTCCCTCTTTCTCTCTGTCTTGCTGTATTTCATTTTACAGAGAAAAGAGGAAGGCTCATGCTGTTTTCTTAGGTAATGTATAATATGCTGGAAGTTTACAAATTGTAAAACCACAGGAGAGAGTTACAGTCTTTATGTGGGCACTTTGCTTTCACTGTCACTGTGAAGAAGAAAATAAGCAGTTAAAGTAAGAGGTTGTCTTTGGATGATACTCTTTAAAAGATTCAGGAAAATAACATGGTGTTACAGTGCTGATGGTAGTTTTAATGTAGCTTCTGGTATTTTAAAGCTCTATTTCAAACAAAACTAGCTTTCAAATTTACATTAAAACTCACTTCGATATGGAGTGGTTTTTTTTTGGCTTGACAAGTCACTTTGGCAATCTAGTCTTTGTATCTTTAATTCAGAGAAAAGTTAAGAGAATTAAATGGCATCTGAATTAATGCCAAAATATAGCAAGGAATTGAGTAAATTGAATAATCAAAAAGAACGAATCTTACTGTTTTCCCATTCAAAGTTCATCTTTCAAAGCCACTAGTGACTCATAGCTGGAACTCTAAGGCAAAGTCAAGATTCAGGTACAAGATAGAACCCTCTGTGAAAATCACACACTGAGATATTTTCTGTAATAATGTCAAAAGCTGTACAGGTTAGAGGGACTACGCTTATTTTGTAAAGTTTTAGTAGCAGTAGCAGAAATACTTGATAACTGTGAGGGGTGTATAGAAGCTTGCTTGCTAGTTTATCTTAAGAAAGTTTACAAAATTTGTATTTTGTAGAGACCATCCAAAGGGAATTATATGAAAGAGCCATCACTGTAGATTGATAAGGACCAAATTATTTGCTTAAATCTTTGGGAAAGGAAATGTCCAAAGTGTCAGCTAGTTTTTGAAGAATTATTTTAGAAAGTATTTCTTTTAAATGTGGCTGTTTGTTAGCAAGGTTCTTGATTTGTGTTTAACATTGTAAGTGTGCATTGAGGTGTTTTAGACAAACTTTTTAAATTTGTCAAGCTATATATATATATATAACAAATATAACAAATGTATATTTGGAATATATATATATTTGGGGCTGGATATATATATAGAATATGTTCTTACATGTGTGTGTGTGGGGGGAGTTCCTGTACATTATGTTATTAACCTCTTTCAGGAAAGTGAGACAGCAAATGTGCATGTGTAAGTTTGAATCGGTTAAAACTTCAGTCAAACTATATTTTAAGATACTTTTGCAGTTCTCATTTTGATGGGGTGCCTTTTTGTTATGGCTTAATGCATTGTATTTTGTTTTATTCCTGTGTTTTTTTATTTCCCCTATAAAGCTTTTTGAATAATTTAAAATTTATCCCTACAGTTTTTTTCCTATGTGCTGATGTGGTACATTTATAACCTACCAAAATTATCCTTTGAAGGCAATGCTCTCTGTTTGTGGGAGTTTGTTTTGTCGTTTTTTGAATGTGCACTGATCAACACCTATCTTAGATAATAGTAATGACTCATTTCTACAAACCAGCTGTAACAACAGGCCTTGGAAGTGCTGTGTGTCACATGGATCGCTGATGCTTTTAAATGCGTCTCAAGCTATGCCGAGGTGTGTTAAGACTGTACCAAAACTTCATGTACTGCAGTTCAGTACGTTCAAAGTAGTGTGGCAGTAATAAAATTAGAAATGTCTAGAACACTGCCTGATAGAATAGTCTGATGGCTTTCTGATTATGCATGTTAAGTACTGAGTAACATACAAAACATACTTAGATTTTCTGACACCCGTGACATATTTAGATTCAAATCTCTCTATTCTGAATTAATTGTGCTGTGACTGGTTTAAGAACCTTTGGCAGTTGACAGGAGGTGCCAATTCTAGAGCTCTGCAGTAATTCAGTACAACTGCAGCATGACAAGAGAAGGTTAAAAAGCAAAGCACTGCATTTTTCTGGTGTGTGTATGCGTCTGCATGCACATACATGTCTTGGGTGAGAAAATGTGGGTACTATAGGTAAGTGTGTATACACATTTAAGTAAGGATAACTGAATTATCCCTTTATACAATTTTTATCACATTATGATATGCTGCCATTTTATTACTCTTTTGGTCCTTATGATTTTAGGAAAATGTAAAATGTTGGGTGTGCTAACTCAAGCTTTGATTAGCTTTCTGCAAATATTTATTTTGAGCAGCCTTTTGGTGGAACAAGGAGTCATTTTTTTCATCTTGCAGGCTGCAAAGTGATGAAGTAAAAATATCTGTCAATGAACGTTGCAAGGTGACAATTTAAATTGCGTTATAATCTTGTCAGTTTAGATTTTGGTGTATGGAGACTTCGTACGTCATTGTATAACTAAAATGCACACCCTTTGTGAATTTGGAAAAGCTTTTTAACAGCAAACTCTGTTCTGTAATGCTGAACATGTTGCCACCAGAAAGCATCAGATCTAGTATTTATACTTTGCAAGTATGTTGGCCTTAAGTACTTAAATTTAACATTTCCAACATACTCTTGCTAGCTTTAAGGTTATTCAATTCAGCTGTTTTGGCAACAAAATAGTGAGAAATATTTTGTTTTCTGACAAAGTATTTATTTGCACTACTTTTGTGAATAGTGGAGTTTACTGGGACAGGGTTTTTTTCTCACCATGTGAGGTTTACTTGTGTGTGGATAGGTACATACATTTGTCACGTGTTGACAATCAATTGCCTCAACTGTGTGTATACTGTATGTAGATATAGACGTATTTTTCCAGTTTAAGGGAGGAATCCACACCTCAATGATGGTAAAGCTACTCCATAGTAAGGGTTGAGACTGACTCTAACCCCTTTTATCTCCAGATGTTATGAGGTTTGTTTCCACTTCTTTCACAAAGATTGTTACTGTTCATGGAGAAAAAAATAAAATGGAAAATTCCTCAATATTCAATGTATAACATTTTTAAAACACAGTTTTCTGAGAGAATTTAACTTTGGAGTAGATAAACCTATGCTACAACTGTATTTTAACTGAAGAATTTAAACTTATTTTTTCACGAATTGATGGCTACCTGTTTAAAGTGTCTGGGTACTTAATTTTGTCACAAACTGGGAAATGTTGTTTTGGCTTACAAATTTAGATTAGTTTGAAGACCAAGTAGGAACCAAGAGGTTTTCAAGAAAGATCTTAAAACTGAGTACTGTAGTCATAATCCTGGAGGAGGTGTGGAAATGAAATGAAAAATATTCGAACGAAGTGTGTGTATGGCACACAACAAAAAGATGTTCCTGATGCTCTTAAGTTATACTCTCATCCTTAAATTCTGCAATTCTTTCATGGCCAAAGATTTTACTACCTTGGCTTGTTTAATATAGTATTAGATCCATTAGCTTTTTACAATATAAGAATAGTTTGTGAGAACATCCAGTTACAGTATAGGAATAGTTTACATGAGAACAGTAAATATGCTTTTTGTTTTGGTTGCTTAGGATGATCACAACTAAATTTGCAAAACATCAGCCCTTTCTAAGCATAGTGAAAAGACATGTACATGGATTGCATTTTTGAGTTTCTTTCAATTTGCAATGCGTTAAATGAAGTTTATTTCTAGCACGTGGGCCTTAATCTCCTGTAATTACTTAGCTTGTGTTCCGGTTGGCAATAGGGTAAACTTGGCTGTAGAAAGCTTTTCTAGAGGTGCTTTGGGGAGTGTGGAGGGGAGATCATGTGTGGGTGTTATTAGTCAATATCTACGCAAGTCCATTTTCATGTCATGACCAGCTGAAGAGCCAAAGTACTCCCCTGTGTGCAACTTACTCCATCACCAGGTTATGAAACCAAGCAGTGAATAGGTTTGAAAGTCTGATAGGTAGGGTGATTTCCGCATAGTTAATTTAAAATCTGTGAACGTGCATGCCAACCATGTTATGGTAGCCATTTGGAGTAAACTTGCCTGGTAAATTTGGCAAGCGCTAAGGCCTGCATATGATAAACTAAAAATTCAAGAGCAAACTGCAGAAGTCTAGAAGACCTCAGAGCTTCCAGAAATGGATTTGGTGAAAATCTGTTCCAGGCTAAGTCATTAGTTTAAGATGATAATGATAAATAGTTTCTCTTTTCATTATTTGTTTTATTTTCTCTTGAATTTAAAAAAAGAAAAAAGAGGGAAAATGAGACAAAAGAATCTTCCAACTATATTTTGCATCCCATTTTTGCTAAGGATTGGATTTGTGGGACTGATTTAATTTAAAAAAAAAAAAAAAATGGGTCCATAAACTGTCCCTTCTATCGTAAGGGATTGCTAAAATAATGTTGTTAAGGAGCTGTTGATGGGAAGAGATATGATATGAAACTTTGTAGATTAAAACTGGCTTATCTTTTAACTTGTGCATGATCCACATAGTGATTACGCCAAGTTTTATGAACTAATTACTTTGTTGTGAGCTCTTACTTCATATCTTGCAATGAGTAAGATGGAATTCAGTTGAGAGTATGTTTGAGTTCTGGTGGAACTTCACAATAACTTTGGCTCTTGAAAAAGATGACTAATCTCCATTAAAATGGTGGTATCAAATTCACATAGTGTTTTTTTCTTCAGAGGGGAAAAATGGGGTGTCAGGGGGAAGACTTCAGATAGTTGAAGAATATTCTTTGGACAGTGTCATTTTGGTGCTTGTCATGGAATGTTTCTCACCAGGAGGATGATGGATCTGCTGTATTTGGGTCCTTTTCCTCCCCAGAACTGACCACAAAAAGGAGAAATTGGTAGGAATGAAGCAATCTGTTCAAAGAGAAATTACCTTTCCTCTAAAATAAGTAGGTCTTGGAAGTGATACTAATTAATACTAGCTATTGACACTGTTCCTTTTATTCAGACAGTTTCTATAGCAGTGCTAGACTTTAATGTTATTAGTTTATGAAAAAAATGCAAGTGTTTAAAACTTCGTGGCTTCAAATATACAGTAGATGTGAGTTAGCGATTACTCAGGATAAACCACTCTTCGAAGTATTAATAGTTTGTTAGTGCTGGAGTGTGTATGTGTGTTTCTGTGTGTCAGTGTTCAATGATTACTTTGAAACAAGACTTCTTAATATTTTCTTGCAGAAAGTGCATACTTTTGGGAAGGATGTTACTAGCTGGTTATTTATGGAAAGATTCCATGTGATTAAATTGAGTCATTTAACTTTTTTCCATATCAAGGATTCCAGGAAAAAGCTAATAAAGATTTTGAATAATTGAATCAGATACTCTTAATACATTTTAGATTTCCTATGGTAGCTTTTATCTGTTATTTAAAAAAAGAAAAATAGCTAAACCAATGTATACCCCATGCTGCGTTTTTTAAATTTGTATTTCCTCTACTTGACAGTGAATCTTTTGATTTGTATTGTCCTTGTAACAATACAGATATGCAGTCAGTTTTACTGGCAGAAAAAAAATCTGCAAGAGTTAATAGATTATTTTCTTACTTTTTCTGTCATACAAGGTTTGTTTCTCTGAACTGAGGATTTTTACTACTTTAGCATTATGTAATCTTATCTCTATCATAGAGGGAGCATAAGCAGCAAGTAGCCCACTTCTTGTGGACGAATAAATAGATGACAGAACACGGATTAGTGGTGTTGAATCCCTTTTCACCAGGAAAACCCTGTGTGGGGTGTGTGAGCCCCAGACG